GTTAATTCATTAGTAATAGTAGTTAATGAATAAATTGGTTAATGTAATGTCGTTAATTCATTAGTAATAGTATTTAATGAATAACTTGGTTAATTTAATGTCGTTAATTCGTTAGTAATGGTAGTTAATGAATAACTTTATTAATTTAATGTCGTTAATTCATTAGTAATAGTTAGTTAATAGTAGTTTAATGTTAATTCGTTAGTAACTTGGTTAATTTAATGTCGTTAATTCATTAGTAATAGTAGTTAATTAATAACTTGATTAATTTAATGTCGTTAATTCGTTAGTAATAGTATTTAATGTGTAACTTGGTTAATTTAATGTCGTTAATTCATTAGTAATAGTAGTTAATTAATAACTTGATTAATTTAATGTCGTTAATTCATTAGTAATAGTAGTTAATGAGTAACCTTGATTAACGTAATGTCGTTAATTCATTAGTAATAGTAGTTAATGAATCTACTAAACAACCATTTATTTTTCTTTGCATCTGTGATTTCTCCTACACGCTATGCTTGTACAGCTTTAAGATGTTTATAAAACGAGGCTGAGTTGAGTTTCTTTTCCTCTTTGTCTTAGATACCAAGAACGATTGCAGAAATGATGAAAACTCTCTTCATGAATCTTTCTGGTCTAATTAAAGAAGCAGTCTTGGAATTTGAGAATAGCCTATCTTCTATATACTGTCCATTACAGTCCATGATATTCCGAACAACTTCAATTAATACAAATTTGAAACCATAGTAACGCCTGTTCCTTGAGGTTTACGCCTGTTATAAAAGTCGTTTTTTTGTGTGTGCGTGCAAGTTGAGTGTTTTTATAAACATAAATTCGATATAACCATCATCCTTGTTACGTATCGCTCAGATAAAATGTATTCATATTTAGTTATTCTGTATAAAATATAGAAACTTTATCCTGATGTTTAATGAATAATCTATATGATAATCATATTTTTGCATCTCTCGAAACTTGACGCATCCCATGCGAGTGCTCTACCATCTGAGCTAAAGGGTTAACTGATTACCAGCTGCTAATAAAGCACTTTTTAACACCACAGTATCTATAGAAATTATCTAATCAATAGTCACATGAAAGAGAGCCTATATGTGCTGTGAACAGTATTATAGCTTAACTGTATATAAATTATAAGAAAACTATATAATATGTGCTGTGAGCAGTATGTATATGATTTAACCGAAGATTTACCATTGGAAACAGAGATTCTAATGTGTGCTGTGAATAATATCCATATAGCTTAGCTAAACAGCAGTCATAAGAGATATAGATTATATGTGCTGTGAGCAGTA